CTCCTGCTGAAGCACTTAACGATATGTGGGGAAATGTTTCGAAGCTTTGTCGACTGTCCTATTGATTGCGGACGGACGCCTATATAAATTGAATCCATGATCACCGTCATTAGGACTCCGAATGACATCAGAAGAATGTGAGGAAGGTTGAGCCAATACATAGGCACTTCTATTGAGAACACGGTATCCAGCTGTATTCAGCTGATTTAACGTACCGTGGTGCTTTTTTAATGTACGGTAAAAGTCGAGCACTGTCTTAATGGATACAGCTTTAGACATTGTCTCGTCGAAATAATTGCCCTATGCTCGACACAACCAGCACCGAATCTTTCATTTCCCGCCAGTTTAAGTATCCATATGAATTTGAGTATTGAGAATCTGCAGTTGCGTTTCTTTAGATTTTTGGTCAAAGCATTGGTGTAAAGCATTCCAGGGATATTATGGACACCAGTCGTGTTGAGTTTGGCCTCTAGTCACTTCCCGAGAATAATTGTATGTAGTGAACCACATTAAATTATATAAAAAATTAATTATTGAACATAGTAAATACAAATCTTCCCGGTTTTCATTGGTGGCTGTGAACGAAATAACTTTACAAGTCTTCGTTTTCGGAAAAGTCTGGCGACCATCATTAGAGTTATTTCTGGAAAAGGTTTCGCTTTGGACACAAAAGTTTCATCGGGCCAAGTGACTAGGTTCCGGGGTTGGTCAAGATTTACGGCGGAAGCAGAACCAATCAGCTAAGTCAGGCTAGATCTCTGTTGGGTATCGGTCGAGATTACTTTGTGTGTTGGGGTGGTTGAACAATTGTTGGGCCGATGGGGTTACAGCCTAGGGTCTAATTCTTCTGGTTCGGTCTCTTTGATGATCCCTCTAGAACGAAGTATGAACTTTCTGTCCGTCTTTGTGGATGAGCTGGTGCCAAGGTAGTTGTGTAATAGGAATGCTGTCACCTTTGGTCGGGTTGAGATTTCCAACCAATCCCCAGTTTCCGCTAATGATTCTAAGTGGATTGGCAACCACATAGTCACGCGTCGACTCTGCTTATCTAAGACCGCTTTCCATACGCTCACCAGTTACACACCGTCGATTCTATTCACGCTGTGATGCTTAGTGATTTCCATCGCCTCGGTTATCAGTCGTTAGTTTGTGAATCGTAGTCCCCGTCTTAAAACGTCCACGTCTTCCAGATGTAGTCTATGTTCCGTATCTAAGGTATGCACCGCCATCGCTGAGTCTTTGGCCCGCGTTTGGTATTCTTCTGCTTACCTTGGTAGTTTGTTTATCCTTCTTTTAAGCTCGGCAATTCTGACGCGCCATTCACTGGAATTTCGTCCTATGTTAACGTTAGTGCAATCATTGCAGTTAATTTTATACACACAAACCCTATTCCTTTCAACCAGCAAGGGATCTCTTAAATGCACCAAATCACCGAAGAGACAATACTGGGGTACACGGACTTTGGCAGTGCTGATGAGTTGTTCAGGGTGGTTCCTGTGTCTGTTGGTTTCTGGTAGATAATGGTTTTTAATTTCTTATCAAGCCTATGTCTTGTATGGTCCAGAAAGGGTGATATGCCCGTAGTGGACTCTATTTCCATACCGAACTTGATGTATGGATTTAAACTATTGAGATAGTCGTGGAAGTTGTTCACTTTACCTCGTTTGATTACAACAACGGTGTCGTCAACATAGCACCAATAAATCTACCGATTGTCACTAAACGTTTTCGGAAACGACTACTAATCAATTGGTTTGAGGCAATTTTCACCTGATTGAACTTTTCAAGTCATCTATATATGTTGTTTTAATTAATCAACCGTGAGTTGTTGCTAACAGATATTCCTCGAAGCGTTTTTGAAAGCTTCGCTGGCTAAACAAGAAAAAACATTCTCCATGCAACAGCCCTATGCATTTTGGCACAACAATTCTAATGGGCTGAGAAGATTTAGCGCACAGCGTGCTAACGGGTGGCGGCTGCTATCGTGTGTCAAAATTTACTACAATAGCGTATGAAACCAGCCTGATTTTCTCCATAGCCAGGCTGCCCAAAACGACTCGTGAGAAGTGGACGCAACGACTCTGTTGTCCATCGAAGTATCCAAAACATAATGAGGAATATCACCATAACCACAACTTTTCGATTCCTCATTTTTGTGGCCTATGAGGAGTTCCCGAAAGGCATTGTAAGATTTTAATAACACATATAGATTTATTTTGGTTTATGTGCAATACAACGGCGTTTTTCACTGTTTTTTCCAGTTGTTTTCCGTCCTTGCCTAAGGTGTAACGTTTCTTAAAGTATAATCCCTGGCGACTTACACGGTTTCCACATGCATTTGATGCGAGTGTTGTTGACACAAATCAGTGGTACCTAGTGCGCCATCCAGCGACAATGTGTAACTATGCAGTCATAAATGATGCATTTATCAGGTACATCCAATTTATATGGGATAAGACTTTTTACGAGGTTGTGGTAATAGCATCAGCGGGCGTGGAATGTCCATACCATCCGTCCGTCTTTATTCTTTTCTTTACAATAAGGCTTTCAAATAAGTCATGGTTGTACGGCATTGATGTATCGATGTTGAACACTGATGTCATGCTGTCGATGATGATGGTGATGCTGATACCACCATTATACTTATCGCCAGTTTGTTCCCAGTTGTACTCCGTTCGGGCTCAATAAACATGGCAACTTTGAACCGCTGAACAGCCATGGACTCCAAGTGATCATATCCACCGCCACCCATCAATTGCGTAGCACAGTTATTGATCGGTTTGAAGTATACAGATTGGTCACATCACGTGCATTTTCCACGATGATCTCCAAGAGCGTGCTCGAAATCTAAAATAAGCAAGATTTGTGAGTCATAAGTTGGGGTTAGACACCGTTGTGTACTATGCAATGCACTTAAAGTGATTTTTGAATAGGATAGTGATTGTAATTAAGTAGAACTAACCATGAAAATATTTGATCTGTGGAAATTTGTTCTTTAAATTTTGAAGCAAACACGCCGAACCATTAGATCTCATAAATGCGACCATAATCACTTTATGCAAGGGACTTCATGTCATCAGGCTCAGCAGTTGGCCCCTAATTTGTGGGCGAGCATCATAGAATCGAAGACCCAAGACTTAAAAGGAAACAACGCGGTTGAATGAGCGCAGAAGTTGTTTCATTTAAGGGACAAAACAGAACCAAAAGACCTCCCGTGTGGAAATAAACCGGATATGAAATAACAAGCCTCACGTTTAATAAAGACCAACGTCTTAATAACTGTTCCGAGTATTCTGACTAGCGGTTTGGTTAGACTCATACTCCCATGTTTATGACCTTTATTTGACCCACTCGTTTTGAGCCGTGGCGTATAAATTTGAATCCTTCATCAGTTTTTAAAGTATAAATGTAACATTTCCTCTATGAAGGGTTGTCGGCCCGCTGAGCCATGCGGGTATTTACCAAATTTGTTTAGAGAGGGAGGACAGTCAACTGGTTCCGCCGTGATTAGTTTGTTCGGACATATTTTGGAACACAAATGCGCTCCATGAAAATGGGTTGACCAAACAAGTTGTTGAAAAGAGGGTTATACGACATGTGCTTGTTTTGACATGGCCAATTTATAGTATTTTACGAAGTCTTCCTTAGGCATTTCGGAAGCGTCCCCGGGAGTACTGAGCCGCATTTCAGACAGCACTTACTGCTTTTGTTGCGCTACACGTACGATCGGCCAACAATCAAAGCTTCCTTCAGCTTAAAAGACGCCTTTAACTGTGACATTTAATTTTTCCTCACCAGTAACAGCCGTTCTTGGAGTACTCGAAGATTCATTATGCTCATTTATCCGTAAAAAAACGGCTGGACTATGAGCCTCTAAAAATAACCAAACTCAGCAAGTTCGCCTTTAATTTATTTTTGCCAAATTCAGCTGTAGATGCTATGATCATCATCATTATCCTCATCATCACCTTTATCGCTGTCAGCTGTAATAACTGCGTGCTTATCGTACAGTGGTTGTAGCTGCTACAGTTTCGTTCATCGATGATTCGGGGGGTGTGGTAGTTAGCTGCGCATTGGTTTCAAACCACCATGAAGATTGTTGTAGGGAGTGATAAATGAATGAAATCATGTGGATGACATTGGTTTGTTGGTTGAGGGTCAGTTTCTCGGGCCACGTCATCTTAATGGAATTTGAGAACTAATCACATGTTCTGGCGTGCACCTCGCGACTTTGAAGTGCAGAGTCTTACTTCAGTATGTTCTACTTTATTGTCTTTATTTAAAAATTTGAGAATGTCGAACCTTTATAAGCTCGCATATCTTGGCATAAGCATATGCCTTTCTTGCACTATCACAGATGAATTCAATGCCCGACTGACCAAGATATATCAACGCTTGACAAATCGCACTACATGTGGCATTCAACAAATTTTTCTGAAGCTAAAGGATCTTCTTTGCTAGATAAGGTTAAAAGGGTCATATTTTGCGGTTGTGAGACTTGAACTCATACATCTAAGCATTTTCAAACTTTTGACTACCAGGACAATGCATGGTACGACAGAGTAAATAAAAGACGTCTGAGTCTATTTCGATATCTGTTATGGGATTTCACGGCTTCTTGACCGAAAGCCGGAAAACTGCACCCAGAAGCGGCTTAAATCCTGCAAAATGTGTTACGTAACTGAATCAAGTGGTGTGAATATTGCTATTTTTCAGTAAGGCTGGTTAGCTGGAGTTGGACTGCTGTTGTGTGCTGTCCATTTAATGCCTTGAGTTTGCAAAGGACACCAGGTCAGTTCGGCCTTAATTTGATGTGATATTTAAGAATGCTTATTTCACTGTTGTACGAAAACGTGTGCACTTTATTCTTGCTTTTTTTAGGCCATCCGGCTTGTTCGTAGCCATTCTGTACCATTCTTGTTTTCCTCCTGCAATCGAACTATTGCCCATGTTGATAGTGAAATTAACAGTGATAAAACGATGATGATAATATCAACGAAAATCTACAGGCAAACCGGAGGTTTTTTGTAAGCTGAATCAAACATCTGGTGTTAATCTGCTAATGAATGGAGGTTCGCTTTTTATCAAAGTGACATTAGTGGTTTACTGAGACCGTCGTCCAACTAATAGTATTTGGGTCTGCTGATTACATCAGGTTACGTCCGCGCAAGCAAAATAGGCAACAAAACGACTCTTGGAGATCTAGATTTAGGAACCATCCTCTATGTCAACCATATATACCATTGCGCGTGATATTTTAAAGTATGTACAAGGGATAGGACGCTGACATAATATCGGGAAAATTAAAGCAACACTTCTTGTGCAACTTAAAATTCTATGAATGATCATTTCAAAAGTTGATAGCTTCTGTGTAAATTGTATTTCTTGTTGAAATGACGTTTGACGATTTAGCTGTTTGTTTTCCAGTTCTCAGCTATGATTAGACAGGAAAGTTTTATTTACTCCATGAAAATTCAAGGTATATCTGAATGCACCTTAAAGTGGTAAAAAATAATGTCCCGAGGAAACAACGGATATCTCATTGCAATACCGATTGTTTTTCAACAGGCGTTGTATAAGTGAAAATTTATACTTTGGATAAAACAATTTCACAAAGATATTCACTCTTCCAGACCGGTGTTACACAAACGTGCGTTCCAAAGTAATACTAGGCACAAAATTCAGCGTATACATTTTGCGACTCACGGGTTTTTAAGAAAGTAATAAAAGAGGTCTTCCACGACGCCTGTGATTTTTCTATTTCTATTTACTGTTCACCATAGTTCAACTCATGAATTTGTATAAGTTGCGTCCTACTTTCTGAGACCGGCCTTTGGCGCATTTTGCGTACCAATAACTAATTTTGACTGAGTGAAGATAGCGATAGCTCGCTACCCCTCTATCAATGTTTAAAAGGCCAAAATTAACTATTCATCTTTAATCCATCGGTGAATTTCTCCCTGTTAGTAAGGCGTAAGAAAAATTTTGAAAGATTGATTTTATGAATTACTAAATTTGGTGTCAGTTGAACTCACTGTTTGTGAGTAATTTCCTGGAGAATGTAAAAGAAGTAACGATCCATCAACCGATCATTATCTCCGTATGTAAGAAAATGATTGTGTGAAGTTAATGTTTCTAACGTGACTAGCAGCAAACTGATCAATAAAAGTCAGTTCTTTGCTTTTACACTAAATGGTCTGTGGGATGCACTTGTGCGATATTTAACAATCTAAACTTTGAAATAAACGTTCACAAACGTCTATTCATCTTTTTCATCTTATTCACCCACGTAAACATTCATGTCTATAAGTTTGTTATGGAGCTCGTGTTGTCTCGCCAGTGTCTGCAGAAGATGGTCCAAAGTGATATCAGTGGCTGTGAGGCAATTTTCACAATGTGGTTTTTCTGATTGAATTATTAAATATTTAAGAATTCCAGTGTTATCTCCCTTTCTTACAAATTTAACAGCGTTTATAATAATAAGGATGGAGTTCAGGTGGCGAGATATCAAAGAGGGAGAGATCTAAATCAATTAGTTTTGTTGACATTTTCCAGTAGGAGGGGTTGATTTTAAGGCTTCAAATAGAGCAATATTTCTCTTTCATTTATTGAAGAACCAATAGGGTGTTAAAAAAGAAGTAAACTAACTTATTCTTCCGCCGAACTTGTTTCTAACAATTTATCCGATGACCCATTTGGACCGATAATCGATAAATCAAATGACAGTCTCAGTAAAATAAATAATGAACAAAGAATCATCCGGCTGTTGCGGAATGTCAGTGAATAAAGCACAAAGGTTGATATAATGCTTTTGTGGAAGCCAAGCCTCAAAATTTTGAGGCTGGTTTTAAACCATGGAAAAATATTAATAAAATCTTTGGGAGGACAAATGATAACAATGACAAAGTTGGTGCTACTTGGGTACAACTTTGTCGGCCACATTTCTGTGGCTCTGAGTGGCTGGTAAAGGTAGACTAAAAAGCCCTGACAGCTTACTTCTCATGCTATGGCATGTTTTATCATTTTTTTCGACTATCGCATTATCCTATCTCTCTCACACAAGCAATGACGCAAACAACATTGAACTGTCGTATTTTCTGATTCGCTTTTGTGGACAGGTCGATAAGGAGGGTAATGTTTATATGTGCCATCTTGTGCAAAAAAGCATGGCAGTGTAAAACTCCAAAAGGTGCTGTTATCTAGCTGTAGGATGTACACTCTATTCTGATGCAAAAACTAGCCGTTTGATCTGAGGTGAGTTTTTCTTGGCGAAACGGTTATTTCTGGTTCGTCCATGTAAACGTTATAAGCCACAAATTCAGTTGTTCTTTGAGTGGAACACATTTCTTGATTAAGTGTTCCCAAAGATGCAGGTTTTCAGTTGTTTGTGATAAGGTTCAATAAGGGTTATTTTCTCGTAATTTGTTCTTCGTCCTAACATGGATATTTTCATGTAATTTGACATGTTTGTGTGACAACTGGCCGTTGGAATTAAAGTTAAGCCAGTGATGAGTATGACGATGGTGGCAGTTGGTATGATGAAGATGACAGCATTGTGAAGTTGCGCGGCTAAATTTTGAAGAACAGTACGATTTGGCTCTGAGTGGTGCTTGAAACGGTTTCCTGCCAGTAGCTTGGTATTGTAAAAACTCAAATCATCAAGCATTATACTTCCATTTTTCAGCCAATAAATTCTACGCAAATGCAACGACCAGCGTCAGCTTATTCAGAAGGCGATGATGGAGCGGACAGTGCCTTGCAGGAGGAGTATGACCGCCTACAAAATCAACTGCGTAACATACAAAATGAACGGCAGAGACAGACAAACGAAGCAAACGTAAAAATAGGTCGGTATAAGTAAGCCTTCAGTCTCGAATTTCCCCAAACCCAAAATAGTAGCGAAATAGAACTGCTTGAAGCGGAGAATCGAGAACTAAACATGCTGCTGTCGCTTAGCAATAGCAGTCAAAATAAGAAAAAAGATATGAAAGCGTTGGAAGATTTGAAACAGCTGTTGGAACAACAAGAAGCCTTGCAGGAGAAAATCGATCAAACAAAAGCTCATCATAAGCAATTGGATTCAGAAGTAAGTAGATGTTTCTTTACAAAACCTGTTTGATTTTGTTTTCAGATTAGGAGTTTGGAAAAAAAGATTTGTCAGAAACAGCAAGAACGAGCCATTCAAGTTAAAAATGAGAAGGAGGCTGGTGAAGAGATAAACCAACTGGAAAAAAGAACGCTTAATATGGAAGCAAATTTACATACAGTTAGCCTGTTCCAGGTGTTATTCTTTAGTGATTTCAGAAAACGTCAAAATTTTGTGAGACTTTAGCCAACAATGACCGAACTCGGGGTGACATTGAAAAGCTGTTGAACGAGCGGAGGATGTACGTTGCACTTCACAAGCGGTTAACGGAAAAGTTAAATGACATAAACAAAATGAAGGCAAAGTTAACACAACATGCCGCCGCAGCTTTCGATCAAAGGTAGGGACACACATTTATCATCTTGTTACTAAGTTGTAATGAGCAGAGAAGAAGCCAACACACGAATTCAGACGTTGAAAGAGAAGAACGAAAAAGATCGCCTTGCCTATGAAGCAGAAGTCCGGGAACTTCAACGAATAATTGATTATAACGCTCAGTTGCAACATTTTATGCTCGTGAAATCAAACGAACGTCTTGAATGGAAACAAGAGGCTGAAGAACGGAAGCGAAAGCATGGTACAGTAAATTTTTGTAACTGTCATGAAATATCGACACGGAAAGCCTATGCTTAGTACTAGAAGGCAGTAGACTGAACAGCCTCTCTTCTAGGCTCTGTCTTTCTGCGGTCTCTAGCTGATCTCAAGTGAGACAGTAAATCTTGGTTCGTCAGCTTCCTGTCCAACAAAGGCGACCCAATTTTACTGTGCTTTCTGTAAAGCGCAGGATATTTTGATGAAATGTGTGAAAACGATTTAACCTAAGCACTAATAATGATTTTTCTGTCAAATATTTTAACCTTGGATAGTCCCGTCAGATAAGGAGACGCATGGGTAATTTAAAGGGCCGATGGACTAAGAAGTGTTAATCGTTAAACCGGAAAAAATAATACCCAGCGAGATCCCTCCAGTCTTTTTCATAGAGAAGTCAATTTTTTGTTAGTGTAACCTTAATGATGGCGGTTAATTTTGACGGCGGAGTGAGAAGTACCAGAGACTGGTTATACATGACTTTAGATTTTGATGGATTCAGTCCATTGTTCTAAAAGCGGGGGGTGGGGTTTGTATCGACCTGGTGGTCTATAATCCCTCACTTCACTTACGCTGGTTCTCCAGCTACAAATTGGTGCCTGGTTACTCCTTGGAAATGATTTACAGTCTCACGATTACCGCACTGTGTGTGAGAATCTCATGAATCAAGTAAACATGTAACGCTGAATAACGTTGGACATAGCTTTCGAGTTTGTGCCGCCACCAGTGGACAAAATCTCAATTTATGTTGCATTGGATTTCCATTGGGTAGACTATGGTTGGCAAAAATGATAATTGTAGAGACCCGCTTGCTCATAAGGGTCAACTATGCGTTCATTAATCTCTTCAGGAATCGGACCATTGCTTTAGAACTCTGTCCTAACAGGCCAGCTTGGATCTATTCTCTAGGCGGTTACTATTTGGCCGAACAGTGTGGTGAGGATTTTGTGAGCCTTTAGTAACCTCTTGTTAGTACGTTATGTCAACAAGTCTATGGAGACCAGTACATAAACTACGATATTGATGTTCTGAATGAGAAAAATTTCAGGATCAAAAGAGACTACGGTTTAAAGTTCTTGTGATCCACCCAAAACAAAATAAGTACAGCTTAATAAGTACCAGTGGTTCATAGCACTGTCTGGGCAAAGAATATTACATATCATTGTATAGCTTGGTTTCTTAACTTTTATCCAGTCAGGTAATGACGAGAACCAAAGCCATATAGGTGAATTGAGTACTGTGTGGATACTATTTAGTGTAGAAGAGCTTTGTACGCTGTTTTTAAGAACAAACGGACGTGGAAAAGTGTTTTTTCCAAGCACCGAACAATTTTGCGTTTAACTTTTTCGATACCATGGGCTCCGCAATTATATGATGGAGCGGTATACAAAATCAAGCAATCATCGCACATTATTCACTGTTGACTCTGAGTGTGGCAAGTTGTTAGTGGAACTGATAATTCAAACTAAAAATTCACCCTCATTGTTTACGATAATAGTTTAGAGTAGGGTATCCAAACTCATTGGTGACCAGCAATCACAGGTTTCCCGCTGAATGATCCCTTGACTCGAACAATGAGATGTGAAGCGATTTCCCAAGAGATCTTGGAAACACGATACTGTCTACCTCCAGGGAATCTCGTGTGGATTTCTGGAAACCTACCCAAGTTTTTATTTCATTGGGTTCAACTTCTTGAGTGTGTGCAAGTGCTTCTGAAGCTTTGGGCCTCCTGTAGACACTATTCAATACTCTTTACTCATGCTACTCACGGTGTATAAGTAGACAAGATTAGCCCAATCCGTGATTGTCACAAAATTAGGGTTTCAGGAAAGAAGTGCACTCACACAGTAGCTCTTGTTGTTTCAGGAACTAACCATCAGCAAGCCACTGTTAATCTTACTCCTGTGCCGCCTGCAATGCGCAGCTACCTACCCCCCCCCAAATCATCGGTGAACGAAACTGCGGTAGCTACAACCATTGTACGACGAGTACGCGGTTATTAGTACGGCAGTGAAGCATCAGTGCCAACACTGATGTTGCTGTCATTGATGATGATGATGATGACGCGGTTATTACAGCTAACTGATGATGTTGATGATGATGATAATGTGCCGAAAGCAGTATAAACAGGACGCCGAAAGCAAATCCAATATTTTTTTATTTAACCTTAACTACGACAGCTTCTGAGGCATTAGCAGTATTCTCGAGGTGACAGACTTCTGAAAACCGAAATCGACATTGAATTCTCGTTGATGAGCCCAGTAAAAAGGGCAGACTCTTGTTTCCAATTCAGCAAGAGTTAGATTTTTCCGTTATTTCTATCTGCTATACACACGCAAAGTTGATCTAAGTGCGATACCCATTTTGACACCCGTAATTCATGAAACACTATTTGAACTACTTGCCCAAAGTGCTTCGAAAATTGCACATCAGGCAATTTATTTTATCACCGGTTCCATGCTAAGGAAAACAAACAATTTGTTTCGGCTAGCGTGTAGACAAGCGTTCCGCAGTGATCCCTCAGTAGTGCGCAGACGTTGGCAAAAGTCACTACCCAGCATCGAGTTTTATGTAAAGGTCTTTGATTACAAATGAGTATGGCCCACAGAACAACCAGCAGTATTCCCTCGTTAGTGACCCTGTGATACACTGACCTAACTCAACAACACTTTAGAAGAAGCACCTAGGGAATCCTGAATAGGCGTGATTCAAAAAAAATACCACAGTGTCTCTATTATGACCAATTTCGAACAAACCCTCAGAGGTGATATGTTCACCTGACAGTCTATGGAACTGGAACGATACTCGCTAGGTCGAACTATGGACTTTTTAACCAGCACATATAGTCCACTTTTGACATAATACACATAATCAATTAGACCTTGGTCGCAAAAGTTTCACAATATGCGAATGATGTGTCTCCTTCAAGGCATTTGTTATTGTTAGGAAATTAGAAATTCAGTTGAGTATACGTCTGGAGAGTGCACGAATAATGAAAAAAATTCACTCACAGAGGAAAACTCTGGAAAATACGTGGCCAATTTACTAGTTTAGGTGACTTGGAGAATAAGGGTTGCATTTTTCAAAGATGGAAACCACGGAGGATAAGGAATTGGCGAAGCAGAGCCACGCAATGGGTCTCAGAGCGTCGTATCATCTGGTTCAGATTTCTTAAAGACATAATGAGCGCAAAACCTAGCCAGAAAGCTTAAAGCGAAGACCTAGCTGAGACGTGAGCAGCAATCCGTTAACGGATTAATCGTTTAGCGGTAGCATCCTTCCGGTACCTAGCTGCCATGTCACCTGAAGGAAGCACGAGGGTTGAGTTACTACCAGGTTACCCAAGCCTAGAAAGGGGAAATCGGAAGACAGAGGTCGGGTTCGAACCATGGACCTTCCGGTCAGTAAATTAGCATTCTAACCCCTGAGCTATCTCGTTAACGGATTAACTGTCAAACTTAAGTGCACTGATGGAGTGTCTGTTTCAGCCACGTCCTTTCTACTAACCTACATGTTGGTTTTTTAGGTGCGACGGGAGAAATTGCGCAACGGCAACAACGCCAAAAACTCGAAGAATACGAAGTCTCCATGTCTCGCATAATGACATGCACAGGGAAGGAAGATGTATCAGAGATGGTCAAAGTTTACCTCGTGAACGAGGATCAAAATTTCACTACTTTCAACTATGTCACTGAAGTGAACAATCAGGTACTTGAAGTTTCCGGCATGGCTTTTCATGGGTTCCATACTTCTGTGTAGATTGAAGATTTGAAGGCGGAACTGGAGCGGATACGTCGGGATACTGATGAATGTCAATCCAATCGTGAAGAGCAGCAGCGTCAAAAACACCAAATCATGCACAAATATGAGGTAATCTTTCCTTCAGGCTGTTGAATGGTTTATAACTTCTTAGGTTCAAATGAACTCAGACAAGGAGGCTTCTGATGCTGCTGAATTGCGTACAGCACAAATTCGAAAGATTCTTGATCAAGTGAAATCACAAGTGAAACATTTGGCGCAAAAACTGGGTTGTGATACCTCAAAGATTGTCGAGATGATGGAGCGTCGTATCATCTGGTTCAGATTTCTTAAAGACATAATGAGCGCAAAACCTAGCCAGAAAGCTTAAAGCGAAGACCTAGCTGAGACGTGAGCAGCAATCCGTTAACGGATTAATCGTTTAGCGGTAGCATCCTTCCGGTACCTAGCTGCCATGTCACCTGAAGGAAGCACGAGGGTTGAGTTACTACCAGGTTACCCAAGCCTAGAAAGGGGAAATCGGAAGACAGAGGTCGGGTTCGAACCATGGACCTTCCGGTCAGTAAATTAGCATTCTAACCCCTGAGCTATCTCGTTAACGGATTAACTGTCAAACTTAAGTGCACTGATGGAGTGTCTGTTTCAGCCACGTCCTTTCTACTAACCTACATGTTGGTTTTTTAGGTGCGACGGGAGAAATTGCGCAACGGCAACAACGCCAAAAACTCGAAGAATACGAAGTCTCCATGTCTCGCATAATGACATGCACAGGGAAGGAAGATGTATCAGAGATGGTCAAAGTTTACCTCGTGAACGAGGATCAAAATTTCACTACTTTCAACTATGTCACTGAAGTGAACAATCAGGTACTTGAAGTTTCCGGCATGGCTTTTCATGGGTTCCATACTTCTGTGTAGATTGAAGATTTGAAGGCGGAACTGGAGCGGATACGTCGGGATACTGATGAATGTCAATCCAATCGTGAAGAGCAGCAGCGTCAAAAACACCAAATCATGCACAAATATGAGGTAATCTTTCCTTCAGGCTGTTGAATGGTTTATAACTTCTTAGGTTCAAATGAACTCAGACAAGGAGGCTTCTGATGCTGCTGAATTGCGTACAGCACAAATTCGAAAGATTCTTGATCAAGTGAAATCACAAGTGAAACATTTGGCGCAAAAACTGGGTTGTGATACCTCAAAGATTGTCGAGATGATGGGCGGCGATGGGGCAGAAGTTACCGAACGGAACCTAATGCTTTACATAAGTGTGCTTGAACAAAGAGTGGACGAGCTTTTGTCGGTAAAGTGCTATAATTCATCAAAAGTAAGTTTCACCGTGGATGAATCACCGCAAGTTGATTGTTTTCTTCATTATATGCAAATAAGCCGGCAGTCCGATTTCACAGAAGCCGGACTACTGACTGTTCTAGGTAAGTTTCGCGTCATTGTTGAGAGCTGTAAATCCGTCCTCTTGCGACAAAATGTTGTTGTTTTATTCTATCATTGAGATGTATATGAAGAATACAGATTGTATAGGTCAGACACAAGGTTAGCCAGATTACGAAAAACTGAATCATATGTCACCGAACGATCTGCGTGACAAAAGGCATATGGGTGGGTTCAAAATCAAAGCCGTAGTACCGTAAATCGTAGCATGCTGGGTGCCTAATCGCTAATACTGTATCCACTTTAGTCAAACGAAGTTAGCTGTCGCACTTTTCAGTGAAATACCATAGCAAGATTCTAGTTTTTTTGCTTTCTGGAAGTGTCCCAGCACTAACGTGTGTAAATCGACTTAAAGCGATATACTACCCAAAGGGAGATTAAAAATCCTCGAAAGCCTAAAACCGATTTTGTTCTAAGTAGAGCTTATCAGGTAGGTCCAGTTTCATAATTGCGGTGGTCGCTAGTTTCGTTTGAGCCCGCACGGCGCTGCGGTACGTGGCAGGAGGAAAAACACTGGAGAGCTCACTTCATGTAGCGGGTCACATTTCGGGGTTAACCATGAAACACCATAGTTCTATAGTTTGGAATCGCTCTGCCGACGGTCGTTTGAACATACCAGATTTTCCGAAATACCTGAAGGCGTACGTTATGTCCTGCGAGGCCTAATTCTGTCGCTTTTCGTTTTTCACGACTCACTGTCTGCCCTTGTTCAGCAGATTTATTTGAAGAATATCACAAACGAGAGATTCGGTTGAGTCTCGCGTGAAATGCAAATTGATTTTCAAATAAGTGTTTCATCAAAGAATGAAGCTTTCCCTTATTTTAATGGTGATTAGTTGGTAATGAAGCAGACTGGATCACACGACGTAATGTAATTTCTTCCCAGACTTGATTTGACCTTATTAGGGGCAACTTGTGTGTGTTCTCTATCATGAAATACTCATAGGCCAAGTTTGATGCCAGGAACAATTCATCCATACTAATGCATCACTCTGAAGTGGTAGTAAGAAAGTGAAAGTGGTTTGTGGATTTTCTGTGACACCCACTTCTACCAAGTGATTTTAGACAAACTACAGGTGGAATTACCACGGATACTTTGTCGCAAACTTTCGTCTCCTGAATTAGCTGATATATGTCATGAGTGCTTCCATGATGTTTTTCGACATTTCTTTTTTGCCACCTTGATTTTTGGTATGAAGACCGGTCCGTTGTTTGACAAGTTGCTTACCTTCTACTGACGCTATACTCCTACCGCTATCTTTTGTTGCATTCAGGGGAATCAGTTTGGCATTATTAGCTAATAACCACTCCGTACTACCAATAACTTCATCCTTTTTTTCGTTGACTGCTTACAATTTAGAGTGATGAGCGTCAGGACAAACCAACTCATGAATCCTCATTAACACTACTCGAAGTACCTCATGTGGAAAAAGAAATTACGGCTTCACTGCCATCATTATCGTAAGTTCCTTTGTCGCTGATTGCCATGTCCTCATGTACCCCTTTTAACATGGTCCGAAACGGTGCTTCTTCGTCAGTTGTAAGAACAGTATACTTGTCGTACGGTGGTTCTAGCTGCCACAGTTTCTTTCATCGATGAGTTAATGAGGTGGGGTAGATGGCTGAGTCGGAGGCGGTAGGTGATATAACTGATTTATAAATACAGGATTGTCAGTGAACCTTTCATCGGAGAGATATGAAGGAGATCGTTCAGCTGTATCACCCTTTCGGTGCCTAACTGCCATGCCACCCGAAGGAAGCACGAGGGCTGGGATACTGCCAGGTTGCCCAAGCCTAGACAGGGGAAGTCGAGTGGCAGAGGTCGGGTTCGAACCACGGACCTTCCGGTCTGTAAATTCGCGCTCTACCCACTTGAGCCATCTCGCCCCGATATGAAGGAGAGCTATACATTGAAGGCAAAAATTGTATACTCGAACGCCGAGGATGCCAGTAGGCCACGTCTGATAATGTCTTTAACCACTGATATGTCTAGACTAGGGGTCCCCATCCAGTGAGACGACGCGGCTTAGCTTGCTGGTAATGACTTTCATACTTCACGGTCAAGTCAATGTTTGACCTCCCCTGGCTCGTTTTTAACCTTTGCATCGTTGTGAGAAAAGAGCCCTCTGGAGAAGCCCGTTGACCGGTATGCGAGGGACATAACTAAGCCCCCACAAACTATAAAGTTTGATCAGTTCTTCTATCTTGAGTGAGTTGTTTCTTCCGAAAGCTTTTCGGCGTACTTCACCATTGCTGATCCGGTGTTCACAACAAATTTGGGCAATGCTCCGAAGATGTCGATGGTCAAACATTGAAATTCTTTTGACGTCATTTCTACGTGAAACGGCCAAGTTTCTGATCGATGTAGTAATGGGGAGCGCACCACAGCATTGTACACTCGACCCTTGATGGATTCATTTAATCTTATTATCGGTTTATTAAAAGTGACAACCTGAATCTCCTTACGTCGTTCCTAGCTACAGGTTGAATGAGTCACTCAAAGCAGAAATCTTCAAACACAGAACACATACTGAAGAAAGTAGGACAACAGGCCCATACGGTAAACCTGTTTGGCAATGGTGTCTGCTGCGACCGCTGTGGCAAGGACCATTGCCGTGTTAGGTTACGGGATAGAAGAATACTTACTCGGTCAGATAACCGCTGATGGTTGTCTGTGTGGCCTCTTTTTGACATTGAACGTGGAGGAATGGCATGAGCATGACGCAAGTCGTTGCTTGCTCATTGTATCCGCTTGAGCCCTGACAGGCTATTGTTCTGACAGTGGCAGAAACAGCCTTTATAAAGTTGCAAATGTTATATTAGAGCGTTGTAAAAGTTCAGATACTGTTAGGCTTACTAGAAGTGAGAATGTTAAATTGAGTGGACATGACGCAGGTGGGCTCAAAAGGATGGGTTACTCGGCCGGGCTCGTTAAGTGCGGACGGAATGCATGACTGTTGCAACTATGTACTGACATCCGCAACGACCAAAGTCATCCGGTTCTAAGACGGCCTCCATCCGTTAATCCACATGAATCAGATAGTCCGCAGCTACCAGAGGCTTAAATCACGCAGTCATGATCGTTTCTTCGAAAAACGCATCGGTCTCTATATGGAGGGAAAAGAGACCTTCCCATTTAAACGGCGTGTATCCATAATAACGCCGTTGTCAGTGATGAGCTGCGAGTTCGTTAGTCAGTGGACGGGTTCCGCATCCTTCACTGTTTTGTGACAGTTCATAAAATATTCACTCTATAGAGAGAGCAAGCTAGCGTTTGGTCATCAGGTGCTTGAAAAATGGACTTAATCTTTCGATTTTTGGATCCATAATTTTCATTCTATTCTGTTGGTACACATGTTCCTCTTAACGTTGTTGCTTAGCTTGAATGCTGTGTGAGGTTGTGCATGTAGGTAGTTCTTTTTATTCCTAGGCTTGCGACCGCGTGAAAATCGACACGGAGCCCTCTGGAAATGTTTATGACGGTGGTGACCGATAAGATGTCCACTGTCTCTATTCCTATTCATTTTTGCAATTCTCTGCCGTGTGAATTAGTGCGTGGTTTTTGTCTTTCGTTCATCTGCTCGAATCTGAGGCTGTGGTGTAATCCCTTTCCTGGTACCACTTTATCACGATGGAAGAGACAGATAAAATTGCTCGACGATTAGGGAAAGTGTTGAAGAATGGCAATTTAGATTAGAAATCCGCATTGAAGTATCTGAAAAGTTTACGTGAAGTCGAACTGACGCTGGATATCCTAACAAAACCGGAGTTGGGATCACCATTAACAAAATCCGAAAAGAGTCCTGGAACAGTGAAATAGCGACGCTGAGGAAGAATATAATAAAGCAATGGAAGCAGTTAGTCCCAGATAAGGTAGAACCAAGTACTTCGAATGCCGGAGTGAAGTAGCTTTAGATGATGGCTGACCATCGGGCCCGCGACGAAACCACCCAACCGCGTACCAATGATGCCCCCACAATTGGTACGAAAGGTCTGGAAAAAATTGCCAGTCTTGACGAACATATCAACTGCCACCTGATTTACAGGCAACTAAAGCACCCGAGTTGCCAAAAGTTCTTATATATGGCTAAAGTATGTCTATCGTTTTATGTTGTGCTCGTGTTGAACGATTATCTCATACTCACTTACGATGTACAGTTCTGTTCACACCGTTGTTGTGTTCACGTGTAGACACCTTGTTCTTTTCGTTTCTTTTAAATGATGTAAAGATTAGTCAATTAGTCGCCACCTCTTCCCTTTCTTCCGAGTCTTCATCACAACATCCCTTCATCGTTGTTGTACGGCAGATAAGCACCGGTATTTTCGACTTTTGCCTTGCTTTTCATGATAATGATGACGAGGAATCCTCAACCACTTCTGTCTCTTCGTCACGAATCGTGTTGTCTAAATCTTGACATTTATGGACCTCTCATCGATGGTATGTTCTGCGTGCGTTGAATGTTCTGTGGCACCTTGAGGCCATAGCGGCTGCAGTGGACTGGCGATCGCAACCATCGTGCTATTTTAATGCAGGATTATCCACAAATTTACCAACGTGACAAACTCACATGCATTCATGTGAGCTTGTTTAGTACCAAATGGCATATAAAGAAAACAAGATGCCTAACTCAGCTGGTTGCGCGTGATATTTTGCTGAGTATCATTACCACATTGCTATCATTGCAATTCATGTCAATAAAATTCGGAACAATAACAGTACCAGAGTAGGACAAGAATGCATCAGGATGACAACATTACGAGCACACAATCGGTTCTACTGTCGGTTCACCAAGATTTTGAAACCGGAGTACCCTAAAACTTTGGAGAGTGAAATGTGCAGTTCATTAATGACGTCCAAAGTTCAAAATAATCTTTTATAGAAAATGTGTTGAACTTTGATCAGCGTTCTGGTTTCAGTAGCTACCAATTCGTCTGACAACAACCTTTATTAAGAGATTTTCTCCAAACCGGGCTGTTCACCGAACTTTTAAATGTTATGTACATAGTCTTACCTCCGTACTGTATTGTTTCCAGTCTTGCAAGCATATTATTTCAAATGCTAATTAAACTCCAACGAAATCTTTCACCCTCTGGCTGACCCACAGTGATGAAGATGACGAAAACGGCGAGAGCGTTCATAGTTCCATACGTCCGTTCACCCAAGCCGAAATTCTTCATCGGGTAACGCGGGATTTGCAAAGGTACGCTGCTAGTACTGGCGCCGAACAGCACAAGCAACACGCACCCAGTCGACACACGGGAAACGGCCACAAAGGCAAAAATAATCAACATGCGAAAATGGCTATAATCGTCGAGTAAACTGAACGGATTTTTGCAAACTCATTCCCCAACAGCCCCTTATGAAAAATCGTCTGCCTCCTCTGACTACTTGTGCTTTGTACCCATTTGACCATTTAATTAAAACACGTCTCTACGCAAGTTTTATCAAGGGATTTTTATGGGAGAAGCTACGATCAGATGGTCGCTCCTTCTGACTGGCCTTCATTCATTTCCTCCTGATATAGTTCAGATCACATCACCGTTCGGATGCTATCTGCGAAAATCAAGCAGTGGGTTCTGGGAAGACTAGCCAGAAATAGGATTGAAAACTTCCTTATTTCCAGCTAGCTGTTCATCCTTCAGGCCATTGTAGAGAGCAGGATTTCAGGAGAATCTGATTCAGTCTTATTTTACAGATTTTAAAATATTCGATTAATAATGGGATGCTCAGTTTGATTTCTCTTGAACTGATCTCCCGCTGGATTTGCCTGTTTCTTAATGCGCTATCCACTGCGAGAACAAATTTAAACTGCAATTTTGGAGAAACTTGATTGTTACCCCTGAGAAACAGTTTTCAGGAAATGTACAGTGTTTGAACAAGTCTGTCGGTACAGTACTGTACTTCATTTGGGTGCGAGTAGAGGAATTGGTGCCTCAGGTATGAACGAGCAAGATAGGATCATGAGTTGCATGTTTCCAAATCATCGTATGTATCACACGAAAGACAATCCGACCCAGCGCTTCCTGGTCCAGTGATAGAGATATCACGGTTGCAATTCCACAAAAGTAGCTATTTTCTTTGCGAAGAGACGGGCTTATTTTTGTGCGGCGGTTGGTGTACCTCAGTAGCCCATTCACTTATACTGCGGGATGCAAGCCCCACATCCAAGGAGTTTCCCCGTTTCAGGTCGGTAAATGGATAGGGCTCTGACTAACACAGTCTACTGGTCTTGCAGGTCGGGTTTGAAAAAATTGTGGTAATTGGTTCCTTAAAATTAAGGCTACTTAACAAGTCTCAAGCCAACCACAGCAGTCTTGCGGTCAGGGCATTGAGCGGAAGGCACTGGCTGAAGAGCGTGATCGTCTTCTCTAAGTTTGGAGGCCCTGGAAGCATCTGAGGCTACAAATAACAATGAAATTTAAGGACAAATGTACAATATGACAGTGGCACTCCGGTATTTATCACTCGTGTATTGCTATCAGTGATGATGATGACGATGACATATTTATTTGGATCAACGACAACCATTTTCTGGCGTTGGCCAAAATGCCTTTTGAAGGTAAGAAGGCACCTAATTCTGGGATTCCCGTTTGATTTGTAGCTGCGGTTGCCTTGAGTGTGATGTAAGCTTTTGGCCCGTTGGGCGCTGACTTAGTGCTAGTTTAACACAATCATTCCGAGGTGCCTACACCTCCAGATACTCACTCAGGCAATCTAGATAGAACCTGACAACAAGAACGCCACTGACATCGGTTGGCAGTCATATCTTGTAGTGTCTCCAACCAGGCACAGTGAGGATCACGCGGTCCCCATCCTGGAAGGCGAGTAGCACCGACAGCATCCAAGCGTTTCGTGATCTCCTTCATACTCCTCCGCCAAGTCAAGCGTTGGCCACCTCTGTGTTTACGCCACTCCGAATTGGGCATGGAAAACAGTACTCTCTTCGGCAAACGATGGTTCGGCATGCGTAAAACATGTCCCAACCAACGCAGCTTCTGGTGCTGGACACATTCTTCAATGGAAGTACCCGTTACACAACCGAAAACACGCTTTCTAACTGCCTCGTTACGGATTCGCTGACACCAACCCACACGAGCTATGGTTCTGAGGCAACGATTGTCGAACATCTGAAGATGTCTCAGGTCCGCTGCTCGAATAGGCCAAGTCTCACAGCCATACTCCTATCGGTCCTCATACTTACCTTTGCTAACCACAATTTCAGTTTATGACGCACACCTTTTTGTTCAAATACTCCTCGAGTTCGCCATCTCTTAGATTGCAAAATGAGCCTAATTTCTTTTCATCTCAATAGAAAAACCGCACCAAATCACTATTTATTCGATTGCAGCTTCTGTTTGTTGATCTCCAATGTGAATTCTTACTAATCAAGAGACAGACCACCAGCGCTCGTTGGCTGTTAGTGTGGCGAACAATTTGCAAGGCTGATATCCTACAACCATATGTCCTTTCTCCAGTTCCTATCTCCAGGGTTACGGTGTCTTATGACAGACATATCAACGTCGTGTCACATGCTTCTATCCGCCTTAAAGGGTTAAAGTAAATCATGTATCCTGTCGTTAGGTTTGGCTGGATCATGATGGATGCGCCAGTATGGTATGAATAAACACACAAGGAAAGGATAGCTTTGCTGGCTACCAGACAACTTACACCTCATCTGTGGTGGTTTATAGTTTGGTCATATAACACAGCTTGAAGGCACGACGTGAAACCGTAATGATACATATATACTTCCTCTAATGCATCTGAGAAAATCTTCAGTAACTAGATAAGACCTCAACACTGACTGATATAGGTAGAGTGAGATGTTTCGGTCGGATCCTACCAAATGAGTGCTTACACTCAATATGAATCACCTAATGTCATGCGGGTGTTGTTAGATAGGATTGAAACGGCAGAATCGGACCGGAGGATCCGTGGTTAGAAACCAACCCCGGTATCTCAACCTGGGTTCATGTCTAGGTTTGGGAAACCTGGCAGCACGGTAACTAGACGCCGGCAGGGTGTTGTCACTGAGCGGTCATTTTTATAAGGTAGCAGGCCATGGAGACAGGTCAGTACACCGTCACAAGAGCTGTACAGCATCCTAAGATGTGTGCGTCAACTACTACAGGGCAGTAGAAGAGAACATCAAACAGAATTCAGAGAGTTCGCTGCTCAGAGTTCAGCTGAGCAAACTATGAGAAATCCTAGGATATATAGTCTGTATTAGTTTTCCGTATCTATGGTTCGATCAAATACAATCGTCGGTCTGAATTTATCTACCAAGGCTTCTCACGGATCAACCTATAAGAGCTGAGTCTCACATGGTGACACATTCAATGATCTGACAGTTACCCGTGGATTTTGAAACACGACGTTAGTCATCCCAAAACGATATTGGACACCAAAACCTAATGCGAGGTTCTCAAACCTATAACTCGATGAAACTTAATATCCAAGTTAAAAACGTTTTCCACTTACAAATGATAGGACTTCTTAGACAAAACGTTGTCGATTTTAACCATCGGACGATGTTTATGACTTGTTTCCTTTCGTAATATTTTGGGTATCGAATCTAACTTGACCTCCCATTTATTTACTTACTCCGCCAATGTACTTTTGATTTTCACTTCTTTTACTTATCTGTACCCGCCACTCACCTCAAAGGCTGTCCCGTCCGATACTTGTGTATTTGCATGTGTCTGTGTGAATTTGTGCCGCTGACCTACTCATCCAGGTGCGTTCGTGTCCCGTTTACTGAGACCGCCCTGACGTGTTTTCTCATGAGTCCCGTGTGATCGCGCTGCCGATGACAATCGCGAGACTGTTGTCGGAGGGGACGACGCAACCCACACCACTGAGACGGCATTTCGTTCGCCATTGTTTGGTGTGCGGACGTTGACACCACACTGTGCCGGTCAGCGATAGATTTGTGCACTTGACGCCACGAACGCTGATAATTGAGGTTTGTTGTATTCATTTGCTCACCTTTGTGTAAATAGTACCGTGGAATTACGAATCGAATTCTTTACTTGTGTATTTGCATGTGTCTGTGTGAAGTGTATATTCCGCTTTGGTGGTATTTAGTCACCATTTAGGAGTAACGAAGAAAATTGAGTGGGACTAGCATCAGCAACACAGACGAAAACTGGCCATATTAGGATATTATTGCGAGGTTAGACGGTATCATTAGCCTGTAAAGGCTGTTTTGGAGAAAAAACGTGACAAAAATCGAGGGATAATGATCATCAAAGAATGTTATCACTGTGGGAAGCAAATACTGAAAGCGACACGCGCACAAACCTGACCTGCTGACACATCAAAGTAACTCTCAATACATGTTTACTGTGAAATAGACTAAATGAATGGACGGGAACCTTATGTGCACTAGCATTTATTATACGGGGGGCAACGACGAATGACCCCGTAAGGACAATTGCTGTACAGAGAAACATAGACAGAAGTGTCATTCCATGTTTTCAGAACTGTGGATAACTTGTTAGTGTAACTTTGCGTTTGTATGAAGGGCAGTATATCCGAAGCGGGTTTATTTAACCAAGCAGACGTCTGCTTTGTCTGTGAACTGGGTAATGTGGAAGGGTAAGGGGAAACGTTCTTAGTCGTAATGCACTACTCATATGTTTGCTGAAAATTCGTCAGCCCACGACCGGTTTCGCACTTCTTGGGGCTCATCAGGTAGGCACAGTCCCCGAGTTTCCTAAAACCTTATGTTCTACTTGAAACAAATTGCACGAAATTAGCGAAATACACTCTTTTGCAAACAAATTTGGTTTTGCGAGAGACTCACCTGGAACCCAGCTGAATCTCTCGTTTGTGATGTTTCCAGGCAACCGAATATGCTGCATCAGGCAGCTTCATGTTTCAGCTGCCAGGATATTTGAGATATCGCGATACATGTATATTCGTAATGCACTCCTACTTTCTCACTTATCAGGCACGTTTTTATTTCCAAGGACAATTGTTAAGTTCACCATTTTAACTCTCGAATTATCTGTCACACTGGCAGCTTCAGTGACAAAATATGAGCCGCGTAAATGAAGTACAATGCCATGAATATTTTTGAAACGCAATGACAAATGAGAAACATTACGGTTGGCTTGTCGGGGAAGAAAAGCTACGAGAAAAACCGGGCTTCTGTTTGCAATTAACTAGCACTGAATTTTAGTTGAAAGTTAGTTTACACTAGTGGCTGTTGATCAGGTGAATGTTGATCTGATCGCCGAGCTTGGCAATGGATTCGCAAACATTTTGTCGCCATAAGAGGTAACATCAGTGCGCAGTTGGGTGGATTTACACTATATTCGAACGAGTGGCTATTCCAACACAATCTCCAATTGATTCCACACACACAAACAATGGTTGACGGCCTACGCCCACTACCGGTTGTCGCTTATTTT